CTCATCTGAGACACAGCCCTTTGCAGTTCTCCTTTCTTTACACACTGTGCTGTAGCAGAGGAAAGAAACCAATAAATCTTCTAGCAATGCTAATGGGTCACTTTGCAGCAGACCTAAGCCTTGAAGAAACCTCTGTATACAAGCCTTGCTTCTGCCTTTGATATTTAAACTAACATATTTGCGCTGGGACAACTAAGTTTTTCCTCAAATACTGAAAAGAAATGCAAGGAAATCTGACAGACTTCCATCTGGGCAGCCAGACAGCATTTACCCTAACTTCAGAAAACTAGGCTTTGCAACAAGCACAACAAACCTCCTTCCAGTAACCCCTGATGTGCTACTTGCACCATAAATACAGCTAGGAAAGAAACTCAACAGTGCAACTACAACACATCTCACTAGTTTCTCACTAGACAGTGCACTGTAATGCATTCCTACTTCTGCAACACCTGTGGTTATCCCAACTGACACACAGAAGAAAACCTGGTATCAATAAAGCTCTACTTTTATTAAAAATTAAAGGTCCATATAGAAAGCAACAGAGTGAGGGTGATTAATATTTGAACCATGAGTTACCTCAGATTCGGCATGGGCACACCTCTGTAGAGGTCAGGGGTGTATTTCGTTCACTTAGGATGTGCAATCTCTGCTCTGAGCCTTCTTGCTGCTAACCTCTATTACAGCCTCAGAAGCTAGAGCTGACACAGAATCGCATCTTAAAATATCTCAGCACAAACATGATGCCCGCAGTAGCACCGCAGCTGTTCCTCATCCGAGCTCAGGTTTGGTTTTCTTTATTCAAAGCAGCACAAGAACCAAAGGGGGAAGCTCCAATTTACTGGTAGCCTGCTCTGGTCTCCCGACAGGAACACCTCACCCCTCAGGGCAGAGATGCACCTTCTATATCACTCCTCCGGCAACTGACAGCATGACTCAGCTCTACCACTTTGTCCTGACCTGTCAATCTCTTGTCACTCCACACCTTTTCTTCTAGATTAGATTCCCCTCTCCAGCCCTCTTCCCCAAAAATCCAGAAATGTCCTCCTAGCCTGTTCAGCAGCCCCAGCTTGGGATATCCAAGGGAAGTCACTGCAAATACACTATCTCGACACTCCCAACTCTCTCATGAGCCCAGGTTTTCACCTTCAGCCCTTCCTGCTCCATAACCACCTAACCCTCCCCAGCCTCCATCCTTCCACAGTCATTTGTTGGCCTGTTCGGGGATCACTGCCTCCTCCATTTCCTATCTCTTCTTCTTTTTTCCCCTAGCATACCTGGTAGCAAACAAACTATCAGATGCGTCTTGACAACCATCGACCATCAGGCTACCAGTCCTTACAGAACCGGAATTTGCAAGTAGGCTGTGCCCTCTAGGCTTAGCTCAGCCTGGAACAAGGGTCTTGTTGCTATCATTAAAGACTTGTACTATATTTCCGGAAATCATGACGGAGCAGAGACACCTAAAAATCTGGCCTTATAAACTAAGTAAAATGGCATCAGCCCTAAACAGAAGGAAGAGTGAGCAGGGAATGATGGTACTGGGATGCAAGGGAGAAACGAGGCACCTGACACGGACAGGGTTTCAGCAAGGAGTGAGACACTGCTTACGCCTCAGGACAATCCCTAACGTCTCTGCCATTTCCCAATTTCCCAGGCACGTCAAACGTACAAGCTTAGCTCTTCCATCACATCATTCTCCACACAAACAGCCTTTGTGTGCCTTAGGAGGAGCCTCTGCTGGGAGAAGCTGAAATCGCCCGTGGCAGTCGTTGCAATCATTCCCTGCGTTGAGAGCCATGGCACACACACACAGGACCTCCATCCTGTGTTCCAAAGAGGTCTGAGGGATTTGAAGCTGAGGAAGGCACGAGCGTGTATTGCATTTCACACTGCAGAAGGAGGATGCCTTCAGGACAGCATGCATGACAGCCTTCTATGCATATCAAAGAAACAATTTTCCCTTTTGCTGGTCTGTAGAAAAGCAAGAGTTAAATAATCAAAACATGTCTGACAACTTTTTAGAAAACCTCTGCATCACAATATTTAAATATAAAATTACATGCTTTTTAAAAGCCTGATTGGAAAAATTACATCATTTTGGATTTTCTCAACATCTGGTGCGTCAGCTCTCAGTGTCTAAGAGCCCTATAAATAGATGTTTGGACCACCTCAACACAATTCACGTATGCAGTTTTTCCATAATCCACTTAACTCTATTATTCAAATAAAGCATAACTGGATCTTTTCTTGGGAACAGAGATTATGCAATTCTCAGTACGGGAGGCTCAAGAAAAACAGTATAAAGCCAAACATGAGCTGCAAACACTTAGAGAGCAGCAGAGTTTGTTTATATTTATACACCGTGTTTCCATTTCTTTCCCACCTAACAGCCATTAACTCCTTTTGCCTCTTTTGATCTACCAAACTCTTTCTCTCTCATGTCTTAGTCCACCAGGATTGTGGCCAAGCAGTTAAACATCAATTGCCAAACGATTAATAATGAAAATATAATTGCAGGACAATCAAAATTTTAATATAACTAGATCCTTATGCTGCTAGGCACTCCAATAGTACTGATGAGATTTTTGCCAAAATCCACTGAATTCTGGAGTTTGTTAAAAAACCAAAATCTTTAGTTTCAGGGCAGAGATGGCTAAATACTAGGAACATAGATTTCTACACAGAAGACTTTTTCTCTCATATTTCTAAAAGGCAACTGCTATTAATATGCTCCTTTAACCTCCTTAAGAGCCTTCCAGTTTGATTTAACTATAAATATAAAAAAAACGCAATTCAGCAATGACAGACCTTTGAAAATATACTGTGTAACACTACTTCAACACACATACACACTCTATATGTATCTAGAACATAGCTGAGGATTCATTTCATTATTTGTGTCTTTCTTTTCCTTATACACTGAAAGTATAAATTATTCACCTGGTGTGACCCACCTGGATAAACAGCTCTATGAATGATCCGAGTATATCTTTTGATACCAGTACAGAACAATGCTCCAAGATAAAATGCATTTAGATGGATTCTTGGTAAAAATGAAATTAGGGCTTCTTTTCAACAGAAGCTGAGTTCAACACACAGAAGGTGTTTCTAAGGATCCCAACTTCATCTCATGTTTAAGGTTAATTTAGAACCTCAGTAGCCTATCCCACCTCTTCGTGAAACTTTCAGCTACGGAAACCCATAAGCTCTAAGTCTCAAAAAAGGGCTATTTTTAGCAGCATGTGGTGTAGGTTGTGTAGTTATGCACTAGGGGGATGAAGACATGAAAGGTAACAAATAGATGTGGAGAACACAAGGGAGGTAAAAAATATCAGATACTGTCAAATATCTACTGACAATTACAATGGATTATAATGCCAAAGTGTTGGCACCACAGGGAAGACATTTTAGCTACTGTCTTTCCTTTTCATTAACTCAAGCCCTCTGGAATTAGGCCCCATGAAACGTGCAGGCAGAAGTGAAGGGCCTTCTCAGGAGGAAAGGACAACTCCAACAGGGCACAGAGCAAAGAACTGGGCTAAGGTTCCATACAAGTCAACTGAGGCACTGGCAGTGGACACGGGGGCTCAAGGCAGTGACAGCTCTTCTCCAGGATGTCTTCTGTGGTGGGGACATACTGCAAGGGACGTAAGTCCAGAAGATAAAAAAATCCATGTAAATAAATAGTGATGACGGCTCTAACTGCAAAATAACCACTTGCTTTCTGTCTGCCTTTCCAGTGAAACACGACTCAGAAAAACTCTTGCGCCCAACTGAATTGCGAGCTAGCTTTCACCACAGGACTGTCTGCCACTAGCATCTGCAATCGCAACCACTACGTGCTTACTGCCAGCCCTTAGCATTTGAAGTTCCTGAAGCAAGAATGAGCTTGAGTACCACCATTTGCATTCTTATTCCATTCTGTTTTCACCGCATTAATGAGACATTTCACTTTAAGTGTGATTCCAAGTGCCAAGTTCGGAAAAAATATCTCCATAGTTACACACCTCTTTCTTGCAACAAAGTGCCAGTTCTCCATGGCTCTGCTTCGAAATTTTAAGTGCTTAAACACAGTAAAAATTATTTGATTCAATCATCATTATAGCTAAATCATACAACAAATCTTTCTCTCTGCAAGGATAACTGAAAGAGCCCAAAGGAAATAATCCAAAAAATCCAACTCATGATGTAAAAGAAAACTTTGTGTAGATACATCCGGTCTGTAATACCAAAAGGGAGGATACAGCCTGAATTTATGTAAAAAACAGAGAAATTTCAAAGGTTATATATTTGAAAATAGGAGATATAAATACACCCGTACAAATGTGCAAAAATAGAATCTACAAATACAATCTCTTAGAGTAAAATGTAACACTCAAATTATTCCACGTTTAACTCTCACACTTGCTAGGTGCAGAAATTAAGGGCAAGATGCTAATTAAAAAATTCCATTATATATATTCTTTCATTTAACACAAGTATAGCAATGTTACATAAGCCCTACCCTTCTTAAAAAGACATAAAAAGACATGAAACAAAAATCAGTTACAGAACACAAGTCCAAATAGCTTATACAGACAGCACATGTTCAAACATAAACATATGCAAGGTACCAAACTTTTCTTCAACTAGAGTCGACATGTACCCACCTGCCCAGTGCTGCTCATTCTAACAAAAAAAAACCCTGTACATCTGCTCTGCTAAATAAGATTAGCCAGTTTGACTGGATTAATCTGTCCATACAGAGAATATCATTAACTAGAAATGTATTGCTGGGTTTGGATGTAAGCCCACAAGTGATTTTTGTTTGTTATTTAACTCCTGTTTCTAGAAAGGGAAAATTTTATCTACCTTGTTACTGTCTCACATTCTGATTTCCGCTGTTACACTCTGAAGTCGTAATCACATCTAAATGTTTGCTTCATACACTCGGACAAAACGTAGGTTGCGTCTGGACTCCTTGCACTGATGCATGGACTTAAAAATAAAACCTGCAAGTCCTACAAAAACATAAATTCACTGGACACATGGGAGTTCAATAGCTGATTTCTCTTAGGACCTGTGATAATTTCGGCATCTGTTTGAAGCACCAGTAGCACCAAGTCTAGAGCCCTCCGCCATGCCTCTGTCTTGGCTGTAACATTATCATAAACATCTAAACTCTCTTCATGGCCAGCAAAGGGACCAGACCCACCCCTGAGCAGACCACCTCTTCTAAACTCTTTCAGTATATACGCTGAGGGAGAGTCACAGTCAGCTGCTTTTTTGAGGTGATGATCAACTGAGGTACACGCTTCCAACATCGATGTAGCTTTTGCTGTGTTACACATAACCACTGCAAGATACTGCTTCCAGCCGCTCGCTAATGCTTGGAGCACAACTGACTTATACTCTGTTGCAGATGCTGCCAGCCAAGGACTGTGAAACTCTTTCATATCATTTTTATTTGCTGGCTGTGAAGGCTGTTCTGCAAGCATCTGAATGTGACTAAGGCACAAGAGTTCCACTGCGCCACCACCAAGGAAAACCTTCTTGTCGCTTAAAGCATGATGGAGCCGGTAAATTAAAGTCCAGAACTGGTCTTCAATGAGCTGCAACTTGGAAGCTACAGTAGTGGTGAGAACGGCTGTAAGCAAGGGAATTCCTTGCACCTTTATCCTGACAGGCACAAGCTCAGCCAGATCCATTGCACGCCCATCGCAGGCCTTCCACAGTTCCACTCGGGCCCCGCTCCCCACGCAAGCAGCATTCAGCTGGGCGAGGTACGTCACTGCCTGGGCGCCAGTGACCTCCCCAAAGGCACACAACACATCCCGAGTCACAGAGCCAATTACCAATATATTACTTGCTACGCATCTTTCCATTAAGTTTTCACACACATTTCCTTTGACCAAAACCAAGTTTACTTCGAAGCTTATCAGAGTATCTAACGTACTGCTTAGCCACGATTCTCTCGTCCTGCTTTCCTGTAGCCCAGGATACTCCAATATGGTCCTTACGTTATGTGGCCTATTAAAACCTAAGTGACGATACTGTTCAGTTAGGTCACCATCCATTAGCAGAATCCGAAGGGGTTTGTCTTCAAGGTACTTGACGACTGTGGCTTGTTCTGGTGATACTAATGTGACAAAGCCTGGGGAGACACAAGAATAGCTTTCAGGCAGGCCTAGTAAACAGCATGTCGCGATTTCTGCAATATTAAACTGGGAAGAGCCACTGAATTCTGCCCTCCTTTGCTGATATGCAGCAATACTTTGCAGCAGTTCCATGCTAGTCTGATTTCCATGGCTAAGAGCCATCGCCAGGTGTCCTAAACCGTAACATTCACAGGGATCTGCTGATGGTCCTGAAAGAGATGCCTGAAGATTACCTTGCTGATTTAAAAAATGCCTTCTTCCTAAAGTGCTGAAGTATCTGCTATGGGCTAACTTTTGTTCGTTACAGTTGGATGTAACATCACTTCCAGAAATCACAGATGTGCTTTTGTCACCCGCTGGTTTGACAAGAGAACCTACTGAACCAAAGCTGGTCAAAGGTGAAATAAGACGCTTGTTAAAATTACAATCATCTTCTTGATGGGAACAAGAATTTATTGAAATTACTTCTTCTGGTGCAGAAGTATCTTTCTGAAAACACTGGAAAATCTGAGGATTTAGAAGACTTTCATGCCCAGCTTGGCAAGATTTGCTTCTAAAAGCATTTGGCTTAATACTGCTAGAACACAATTCTTTATTTATGTCCTGTATTGACATTTGAAGACACTGGGCTCTCTCACAGCAAGAGTTCAACCCTTCAGACATGACAGATACAATTGCTGAAACAGGAACATTCTGCTGGAGGCACTCCACTACGGCATCACTCCACGCACCAACAAGAAACAACAGGGTACTCATTCCAGTCTTGAACTCCTTATTTTGTGCCTGAATGGTTTCATTAAGAAGCTGTCCAGCAGCACTAGTTAAATCCAAACTTTCAATCAGTCTTACAGCAGAAGAAATCAATGTGCTTTGGTTGGTGCTTTCATCCACAATGAATTTACATGACTTCATTGGCCCTAGTAATGTTCTTCCAGCTAACGCTAACGATGAGAGTTGCTGAAGCCCAGTGTGTCTTCTTGCATTCACCTCCCTGAAAGCCATGGGGCAGCAGGCAGCATCTGTGAACAGAACACAAACTTATTGCCCCATCCTCACACCACTCCAGAGCATCTATCACTGAAAATTTAAATTAAGTCTTAACAGCAAACACAGTTCTTCTGTGAGGCTCTCTGTGTAAAACAGTTCTTCATCCTGTGCACTTACTATGAGAAATCAATGCAGATAGTTGCTGAAATGGTGCATTGCTGAAATACCATGGATTTCTTTCTTGCTGACAGATAGGAAAGTGTGCTAATTCCAGTGTTTTTTAAACATGAAGCAGTAGACATTGTAGAGAATCACCATTTCTCTCCTGACCTGTTATCTGCATTTCAGTTATTTGCCTTAGAGCAAAAGTTCATTAGAGCAGAATGGACAATTATAGGCAAAAGTGCTCTGTACGGATTCATCTTGGTACCAATAGTTATGCCTCCGACTTTAACCTTCAAATATGGAAAAACATAATCAAGCTTATTTTATTCCAATTCTATTTCTTCGATTTAGCACACATTGATGCTACATTAAATGTGCATGAAAATGAATGCCGGTTCTTCATACCTCACAAAGCAAACTGCCAAGATTTTTCTTGATCTACTGTTTACACATGCCAAAACCACATTTTTTTTCCTTGAAATCCTTTCCACACCACAGTCCTGTGGTGGACCACAGGGATTAAACTAAAGCTTCTTTTTTTTTTTTTCCCTTTTTGAATGAAAAAGTATACACACCAAGAATTAAGAAGCCTTAGCCATATACCTTTTATGCTCAGATTCAGATAACTTCTTTCATCTCCCTAAAGGTCCCTTTACATTGCTACTCCAAACTCGAAAAGCTCTTTTTCCTTCCCACTCAGTGAAAGTCCATCTGAATATTATCTCAAATGAAGACAAAGCGTAAACGCAAAAAGTTGAGTATGCAGTCAGAAATAACCTTTGGATGCTGGCACACCTGAGGTTCTAGCCCACCCCAAAATGACAACACAATTTCCCTTAAATTACTAGATACATCTTGAAGTACAAAGATAGATTATAGTTATTATGACTTTAAAACTGCCCTGGGAATGCACATCTGAAAACTTTTCTATAACCTGCTTAATGATTTTTCTGGAAATGTTACTTGGCAATGTCTTGCAATAATGGTCTACTCATGCTACGTATCCAGGTCAGTAAGAAGAAAAATTGTTAAACGCTCTTTTTCCTTAAATGGAATCCTTAGCTTAATAGTACAGGTAACTTGTTCTGAAACAAACAAACAAAAACTTGGAAGTGATTAATCATTGGATCATGGAATCAAATATGAAGCATGTTTCCTCCTACTACCCCAGAAACTCATAATTCCATCTTTTATTAAGGATTTACCAAGACAATCAGTTTTGGAGGTTTTGGTTTGGGTGGGGGTTTTTTTTTGGTTGGCTGGTTTTTTTTCCTTTCTTTTTTTTCCCACTGAAAACACTATTTCTGAATTCAAGCAGTTCTCAACTAGTAATGACCACTTCTCAAACAGCTCTTGTTTCGACAGAAAGAACAAATAACCAATTTGTGGTTCTTTTCATAAAATTTAGGGAAGAGCTAAATTAGCTATGCTGAAATGTCAAGTAATGCTCTCTTGCTACCTAGGTTACATGCTCCTGTCTAGATGGGAGACAACTATGGAAGGACTGGTGGGAAAGGGGTTTCCATTTTCCAGTGGAGTGAACCTCTTACTGCCCAGTCATTCCCAAATTAGGGTTCAGCTCAGCAACATAAGCCATTGTTTAATTAGGTTTTATTTCAACAGGAAACCATTTTCAAATGGGAAACCATGACTGGTTATAAGACAGATGAATTAGTTAGGGTAGCACCTTTTATCAAGCCAACACACTTCCACTAAACCTGAATATGGCCAACTACAAGCCACTTACTAAAATGCTCTCTAAAATTTAAGTTGAAAAATGTGCCCCTTACTCTCAGCTTAAACTCATACTTTAAAACTGTACCTTCATTTCGAACAAGAGCCTGTAGTCCTGGAGATCTATAAACTTGAACCAAATGGACCCAGAGCTTTACTACAAAACCAGCTGAAGGCAGGGCATATATTTACAAGAAAGAATGGTTTTATATAATTGCTTGCACAACCTCTTGCATACATGATTTTTGATTTTGTGATACTCCCTGCCTCCTCCTTTTGTTTTATACATGTTATTTTTTTGCAAGGACACTTCCCTGTCCTGGTGCTTTACAAACCAGTATACAGCAGACCCAAAATACAACTTTTGATCACCCCATCCCCTGACTTCTTGCCTCTTTTTCCATTCAGCCTGAGGTGGAACAGGTAAAGAATCCAGCAGAATTACAGTTTGGAATCAAACATAGGTGAGGTCAGCAAAGAGAGGGAGGTGTCCTGGAGAACAAATAAATAAACCGGTAACGAAGTACAACCATGTGCAAGACACCAACTACTGATGGCTTCTGCTGAGCTAACGTGCATGCTGACCTCCTGCTGCCTGCCTCATCACCTGTCTCTGCAAGCAAAATAAAACGTGACCTTAGGTTCAGCTTACATTTACACATGCAGGTTTTAGGAGTTCGAATAACACCAAGGTCACGGGTTCAATCCCCATTCGGTCCCCATGTGTTGCCTGATCTAGCTGAGAGGCGTCCCTGCCCATGACAGGGAGGTTGGATTAAATGATCTCTAAGGTCCCTTCCAGCCCAGGCCATTCTTTGATTCTATGACTCTGGGATACAGAAGATACACTAAACAATTATTACTCACTTTGTCTTACAATTGTCTCAACAATTCAGGCTCAATAAAACCAACTATTTTTCTAAACTAATGTATTTCTGTAAAACATTAAAAAAAAAAGGAAAAAAAAGAGTCTCACATACATGTGTGTGCACCCATTCTCTTGCTCCAGCTCTGGTGCATGACGAAGGGCGAACAGGCAGAACATGCTCTGCTTGCAACGAAACGACCAAGTGCTCAGCTAACTGCCACGACTTACCTGCTCTGCTTAAGAGCCAGCCCTATTATTACAAACGTAGGAAGAGAAAAAGCTTCCCATATGGGTGCAGCCGAACCCAAACGCCCACGGCGA